ATATATCCTATGGTTTACGGCTAAGCAATATTTGTGGTTTTAAAGCTGACCAAATTAAGGTTAGATTATGTCAAAACACATTAATTTAATTGCAGGAAGTAATAAAAAACTACAAAACCACTAAGAATTAAAGACTAGAATGTTTTTAAATACATTATAATGTTTTTAAAAACATTACGAATGTTTTTATTTTATTTTTTTTAGATTAAAACATTCTGAATTTTTTTATTTTTATTTTTTAACTGTAAAACATGTGGAGTGTTGCTACATCGACTATCTTATAGCCTGACTCGCAACAGAGCGCTGCTACATTGACCGACAAATAGCCTGATTCGCAACAGAGTGCTGCTACATCGAATGAAGGTATGGTTTAGGCAGGTAGTCTATCAAATAATTAAAAATAAAACAAAACAAAACAAAATTTTTCCGATCTTTAAAATAAAAAAAAACTTAAAGCTGACATTTTATGGTAAAAACTTAAAGATGACCAAGCAAGAGTATATATATATATATATATATATATATATATATACATATATATATCGTATGTTTACCTATTTGTCAGTCATTGTAGCAACACTCCTCGTATGTACTACCTAATTGTCAGTTAATGTATGTAAACTTAAAAAAAAAAAAATTTAGAATGTTTTTATTTGAAAAAATAAAAATAATAATAAAAACATTCTTGTCCTTTATTTGTTCTTTTGTGGTTTTTAAAAGCAATCAAATTTAATTAGTTCCCTTAATTAAATTAAATGGTTTTAACATAAACTGTACTTAATTCTATCTTGTTATATATCATACATTTCAATGCAATAAAATTGGGTAATTTAAAATGAAATTATTTGTCTGTCTATAAATAAGTTGTAAAATTATTAAATATATGTTCATGTTGAAAAAAAATTAACTATATTAGACTCTATGGCTGTTATGTTAATGCAGAAATGTTAAACTTTCTAAATCAGAAAAATTGTTATTAATACTCAAAGTTATTTTTGTTTTGTAACTTCCCAGTTCCCAGTTTTTCAATGTTTCTTTCTTACAATCACTATTGTCGAAGAGATTGAGCTTTGCAACAATAACCTAAAGCGAGTATTGTTTTAAAATTTACAAAAGCTGCATGAATTTAATTTTTACAATTCTCTGTTCAAATTTAGTAAATCTATTGTTTAAAAAGTTTTCTTTTGAAATTTTTAATAATATCTTCAATATACTAGTTACTCTACAAGTTGTAAATTTAAAAACCTGAGAAATTGATAGTTATTATTAAAAGTTCATAGTAAAATCAAATAGAGTTTAAAGATGTCCCCTGTCCACACACAAAATTAAGTTATGTTATTAAAATTGTGTTGTTTTTATGACTATTGTTGAAGTATTTGACTTTAAATAAGATATAAAGCATAAAACACACCTAAGTAAAACTATTTTCTGTGTTTATGTAATATGTTGCTCTGAATTGAAATATTAAACAAATACAGAAAATAGTTAGTACTTATGTTTTTTATGTCTTAATTATTATGTATTTTTTGCATTTCAATGTCTTTTTAATTAATTTTATATTTAATACAGTAAATTTATAAAGAAAAGTATTTTTATAAAATTAATATTCATAGATGAGTTTTCTTCCAGAAATTCACAGAATTCCGGAAATTCGCTTAAAACACCTTTAATTTTTCCAGAAATTTCCGGATGTTTTTTGATGTTAATTTGAAAAAAAATTAATATATTTTTACATAAAATTTTACATACAACAACTTTTGCATTTAAACAAATAAGTTTTCTATAATTAAAATTTTCACGAGATCAATTTTTGTAAATTTTTTTTTTTTTTTTTTTTTTTTTTTTTTTAATTCATTCAAAATTTTTCGAATATTAGAAATTCCTTTTTGTAAAAAGTTAAATAATCTGAATTCCGTTTTAAAATAGTCTAAATTCGCTTTGTCAGTTAAATGCTATCAATTTTTAATAAAATAACTTTCCAGGATTATAATAGAAAAAAAATTTCCTGGATTTTCATAAAGTCAAATACTCATTTATGAATATTAAAACAGAATATTACTAACATTTATTATCAATGCATTTTAGATTTTTCTAATATGTCAAATAAATATAGCAAAACTGTTGTTGACAAATATTCAAGAGTATAGACAAAAAATTTAGTTTCATTTGAAAAACGTATAATATCAAGAATTGGCCTACCTTTTATTGAAAAACCATTAGATTCATTTAATAGAATGGCATTAGATTCATTTAATGAACTACTGGCATCAATTGAAAAAAGCAGAATAGAAAGAGCTGTCGAAATATGTAAATTATGGAACAAATTCAACTTTCCAAGTATTTCTAAAAAATCAGTTGGAAGAAAAATTGAAAAGGTTATAGAAAAATATGACAAGTATCTTAAAAATCCTAGCAAAAAGAGAAGAATACTTTGTTTTAGGAGATCATTTTTTATATCACCAATATCAAGGGCATTTAGCTTAGTCTGTAAGAAAAAATTTTATAATATACAATTATAAAGTTCAGGAGAATTTATTCACAGTACTAACACACAAGTGTCGTTACAACATTTAAAAGTCAGAGTCTGTAATGCAAAAGATACAACTTTGACAAGCAAAGTAAATAATTTTCCAGTTAGCATTTCAACTGCATCAGAAGAAAGTAGTTCAGATTTAGATTTACAAGACAATTAAAAACCAGTGGAAACTAAAAAATCAAGAAAGTATACATTAGAACCAAGTTAGCATCTAATCTTGTGATAACTGAATCTTTAAATACAAATAAATCAGCTAGAATCTGTATAAAAGTTATATGAAAAAGGTATTGAAATATAAACTTCAAGTCAGACAGGAATATGGAGATCAACTAGAAGGCAAGGGGAAAGAAAGAAAAAAATTACTACTAAAATAGTACAAGAAGAAGATTTCTGCCTACATTTTGATGGAAAGAAAATAAACAAGGCTGAATACCAAGTTGTGATACTTCAAAATGAGAATAATAAAATCAATTTAGGAATTGTTAATTGTGAAAGTGGAAATTCGTATGATATTTTTGAAGCTTTAAAAAAATTGTAAAGTGATTTTTATTCATGGAAATGTATTACAATTATTGTATGTGACATAACAGCAATAGGAACAGGAAAATTAAATGGTACATTTGTAAAAATACAAAATGAAATGGAAACCAGAGGCTTTACTAAACCACAATCTTTAGTATGTCAGAATCATATACTCAATCTTCTCCGTTTTAAATTTTTTTTTTTTTTTGTTATTTAAGTTAAAATAAAAATAGCAAAAAGAATACTTTGAATAAATACTAAATAAAATAATTTACAAAAAAAAAATGGTTAAAAAAAAAAGCATTTTTTCATAAAAGTTGAACAAATAAACAAAAAAATTTTTTTTTGCAATTTAAAACAAAACACTTTTATTTTTTTTGGCAAGCACTTTTTTATGTGCTCACTAAAATTTTTGCGAGCGTGTGGGCAAGTGCGAAAAGACTTCAGCGCGAAAGCGCAGGCTAAACGAAGAAGATTGTATACTGAATCTCATTTTAAAACATGTTGGATCATTTTGTAAGTTCTAAATCAATAACTTCTAGTTTTGATTATAAATTTGTAAAGGATTTAACTGAAAATTATGAAAATCTTTGAAAAAATTTTACATAAAAATCTGAGCCTAATTATTACATAAACCTAAGATGACAACTTCAAATTTCTTTATGTTATGTTACATTATAATTCCTTATGAGTTATGTGAAGTGTTTTGTTACTTCAAGAATCAAAAATGATTACCAAAAATTAAGTGTCATAAGCTTCCTCCATTGCACAGTGCAAGATGGAACTCTAGAGCATCATATGTTCTTATTGCCTATTTTCTTATACCAACATGGAGGTGTGAATTTGAAAGTGCAGCAACCTTTATTGCAAATCTGTGTAAAAACTTTGGTTCATCAAACAATTATTTGATGATAAATCATATGACCATATGTTAGATGCATTGACCAAACTTAAGTGTACAGCTGCTTCAAAGTGCTTTATAATAAGTATTTTATTATTATTGTTATAAAAGTGTTTAAGGAGCTTAAACATAATTCAATAAATTTATGTTCAACATTTTTACGTAATTGTATTAACTTAATGCATTCATCTATATAAAGTTTTTCTTATGCTACCAACATTTTTACTGGGCTATAAACTTTTAACTTAAATTTTTTACTGTGCTATAAAAACCAAGCTAACAAAAGCTGTAATAAGTTTGTTAATAGTAATACCATATACCGTATTGTATAATATACTTTATAGTATTTTTCCAAGGGGCAAATTAAATCAAATTTACCAGATTGCAAAGATTTTTGCAGAAAAAACAATAAATTTACTGCAACAAATATAGAAAACTTATTTCATAAGACTCTCACAACTATTATGTTTTAAATATTATTTGTATAAAACTGATGATAACCCAGGTAATACAAATACAGGATAAAAATACTTATTGTTATATGCCAAAATAGAAATGAAGTAAGTAAAAGCTTGTTACTATTAATCAATTTCAAATACATATACAAATAAACAAACTCAAAAGACAACCACTTCTTGGTGATACTCATGGTCCAAAAAGTACACCTAATTTTAAAATAAACTTCACCTGACCTGAAGGACAAACTACCAAAAATAATATTCATCTGACCAGGTTATTTTGTATAAACATTTTTTAAAACATGGTGAAACCTTTTTTTCATAAAAACCTTTAACCAGGAATATAAAAATTACAAACCACGTTTGTTTCTAATTATATACTCTCATGATTGCTAAATGGCTTTTGCCAATCCCAATTTGTGATTACTTAACTTGCTTCTTGATTTCTGTTTTTATTTGTATAGTTATTCGAACATAAAGTTACAGATTGTCCAGCAATACTTTCCGAATGAAAAAATTTTAGTTTTAAAATAACATTTAAAAAAATTTATTTTGTTTCATATTCTATAATTTTTTTTTTTAGCGTTGAAAGGCTTTACAATCAGCTTTGGAAATCAAGACAGCCTGCTATTGAACCACTTGTGATTACAGCAACTGGAAGTAAGTTTTGTCTTATGTCTTCATTACCAAATATCACTATTTTTGTTATTTTAGTAACTTTCATAATATTTTGTAAATTGTGAATAATCAAGGCAAATATTTTAGCTGTTATTTTCTTTTTTAGTTTTAACATTGACAGAAGGTTTTCTTGTTGATGCTAAACTAATTTATGCATTATTCTACATTCATGGGTGATTTACATTGATCATTTTATATAAATTAAAATTTTCTTTATGCTTGCTAATTAATACACTGTTGCTCAATATACTGTGGATCTTTTATTTTAGATCACATTTAAATGATGTTGTTGATACAATTCCAAAGAGTCGTCGTAACAGGCGCTGTATATTACACTCATTGGAAACACATAAAACTAGAGCTTCTGGGTAAAGTTTGTTTTTAAACCAAATTCTAGTGTAGTATTTAGTTCATATAGTTTATTTTATTTTAATGTATAAGATATAAAACCAAACTGTTCTTTGTTTTTAAGAAGCTGGATAGATGTCTGGGATTTACTTTCGCAAGAGTGCCGGGATGAGGTATACATTTTTTTTTAATAATTTTACAAGTGATTCTCAATATCTAAGTCTATTAGGACTGGGCAAAATCTGAAACTGATCAGGTTTTAAATTACAAACTTGAAAATGTTTTCAAGTTTGTAATTTAAAAGCAATGTTGGGAGTGTTGTTTGATTCTATGAAGCATTCAAATCATTTTTTTAAAGAGGTACTTTAATTCAAGCTGGTTTTAAAGCTGATGCTATTTCTTTTAATAGGAACAGAAAAATCAAAGTCAATTTGAATCACACATTCAAAAAACTGCGGGTGCACGCGTATGCACCCATGTTTAAATCTAACAAGGTCTGATAAAATAAAAGTAATCTTTCTTCCCGATTATGAAATTAACAATCAGATGCTTTAAACTCCAACTCTTCCAGTGGTTCTGCAAATTTTAGTGTTTTTTTCAGTACAAAAAAATTGGTACTTTTTTTTCGCAACAAAACAAGTGAATAAGACATTTTCTATGTTTTAAAAATTACCAGTAAACTCAAAAACATAAATACAGGTTCTATTATAGATTTTTTTGTAAGTCTTCTTTTAACAAGAGGCATATTTTTGCATGAGATTGTGTGAGAAAATTTTTTTATTATTAAAACATTTGTTGAAAAAGTTATTACAAAAATTATTGTTCATAGTATCAAAAAGTTTGAGATATCAATAGAATTTCAGTATAAGTGAGTTCATAATGCCCAAGAGACTGAAAAATAAAAGAGATATCAAGAATTCAAGATATTGAGAGTCAATTGTATTTGCAAATGAAAATCTCTTTATATATAGCTAAAACCTCAGAGAAATTATAGTTTGTAATTTAAGTTAATAATAATTTGTGTAAGTTTTGATGTCTTTTCTTGTAATTATTTTTCTTGTTTAGGTTGTTTTAATTGATGCAGACTCTCTACTGGATACATTGGATAATTATCTTCGCAAACACAGGTTTAAAAAGATTTTGATGACAAATGGTTTTTTACTTTCTAAATTGTTTTTGAAAGTAGATGACTTTAAAAATATTTAAACTAAAAAATTATTCAAAATAAACTTTGAAATTGTATACAAAGAAGTAGAAACTCTTATATTTGTATTGAAGATCATCTGCTCAATTTTAATTAGATACCAGAATTTTTATAAGAACACACATTGAATAATATAGACTGCCTATTCAACAAATGTTTTTTATATCTGCCATACGGATGAAAATATTAGAACTAATTCATTAGCCATTGCATTTTTAAAAGTTTTTTCTGACTTTTACATTATATTGAATGTTTTAAAATTCAATTAAGTTGTAATGGTAGTTTGCGTGTTAATGGGTTATAATATTTAAACTAGATATTGATGGCAGTTTTTTAGTTCTATTAAGTGTACTTTTTATATTCTTATCAAATCTTTTTGATTATTTATTTACTCAACCTTTAATTGATTTTATTACATGTTTATTTTATATTCAAACCTCTTTGAAATGGTGTTGCTAATAAAAATAATGATTAGACAATAAAATCTAATTAAAATTTATGCATTGTTAAATAATATGGTTAGTTAAAAACTTTCTGTGTGCTGGTGAGAAGACATTGCATAAGCTTATTAAACTATTTCATCAAAAGTATAAAAAAAATTTTGTCAGTATTACAATTTTATATATATATATATATAAAATATAAGCTATAGGATTAATAAGATAACTCTTAAAGGACATCTCCTGTTGATATTTGAACTCAACCTTTGCTTTTGAAAGTATGAGGTTTTTTTTTTACCTCTTAGCAATTGAAACTAGTTTCTATAGAATCATGCTAATGAAAATAATTCTGTATTAGCAAAAAATCCCAGGTTTTACTCTTTAAGATGTAATGGGTTTTCTGTTCCACAGTAATATTTTTATGATATTTGATTTTTAATATTTACCCAGGTTGATATTTATATTTGTTTCTAATAACAACTTTGTTTTCTAATAACCCTTGTTATATTAGTAACAACTTTGTTTTGTTACACCTTTACTATTTTAATTGACTTTAGTAATAGTTTTTAGATTTTTTTATTTTTTTTTAATAGAGTAATTTATATTGTTACTTAATGGGGCACTCAGTAAAAATTATTCAGTTTGACTATTTTTATTAGATTCTGTTCAGAATGCAAATCAAAGGTTTTGAAGGCATATAGTATATTATCTGGAGACATAGATGGAGATTCAGAAAAAGGGTAAATTTCATTTTCAGTTTTATAAAAATTTATTTTACAATAATAGTTATTGTTTTTTTATTTTATTTAAAATTATCTTTTCAATTTTATAATACAGCATTTTATATAACAATACCTATAATTGTAAAAAGAAAAATTATATCCAACTGGATATCCAACTAGAATTAGTTTTTATAAAGTTAAACTTTGAATTTTATATTTTTTAAAAATAGTTTTGATTAGTTTGTGATTATTAAAATTAAAAAAAACAAAATATATAAATTAAAAAAAACAAATCAGAGGGATTTTTTTAAAATTTTAAACAAAAAATATCATTAACATGAAAATGTCATGCATATATAGTTGTTTTTACCTATTTGAATGACAGTTGTTAATATTTAAGCTGCAATTTTTTAGCTAGTCAACATATTACAAAAAGTCTTAAAAATATTCTATCTATGCTCAAATCACTTTGTTAATGTCAAATAAGTTTTATTGTTTATTATAGTTCTTTGTGTTTGCAATTTAGACATAAAAACCTCAAATCTGATAAATTGTAAAGAGGTCTTTTATGTTTAAGGTCTAAAAACATCTAGTGGCCCAGGTACAATTACCTTTTTTTTAATTGTACCAACGGCCACTCTCTGAAAATTTGGTTTAACTCCATAATAAATTGATAACAAAAATAAACATAAATTTGATTAAATTTTTTTTTATCTTAGATTGTTTTCAACAAATTTATCTAGTGTTACTTAATTGCAACATTTAGATAAATAACAAAATTGACTAAAAGTTCTGAGCAAAATTGGCAAATACGTCTATGACAAATAGATTTGATTTAATCTAGATATCATTTCCTGAAAGAGGTCATTCTTACCTTGAGTGCAATAAAGACATGGATCTCATTAATTGCAAGGAACATGCTAGCACACTTTCAGACTGGCATGAAATATTCAAAGCTGCTAGAAAAAATGTCACTACAACACCATTGAACTAATGCTCAGTGTAAGCTAACGATATAAAAATATTACAATTTTCAAAGTATATATATATGTATATAAAGCTGGACATACCTATGGGACCTCTAAAAGAAGTCATGTTATCAAGCAAATGACCTGGAGTAATTAGTCATAGAGGCTCATGGAATAGACCTATCTTTAATGAGTCTGATGAAATTCATTGTATGGGGTAAAGTAAATATAGTCTTCTGGCCTTAAAATCCTCTTGTAAGTACTGGCAATAAAAGCTAGTAATCATCATTCCACCAGCTGATTTCCAACAACAAATTTGTTGTCACAACTACTTTACTATTTTGTTTAAACAAATATTTTAAAAGTTTAAATTAAGATTTAGGATACATTACGCATTTAACTTAATAGAACATTAACAATCGGTAAAATCAGTATAACTCAAATTACTGAAAAGAAACTCCATTTTTAACCCTCTTTATGATATATTCTTTTAGTTGTTCTACTATAATAGGTTTAAAGAATATTCTTATAGGGTAAATGATCTATTAAATGGCTGCTGTCACTTTTCCAACCAGAAAAGTTTTCATCACATTTTAATTGTTCAGTGAAATGCCTTAAAATTATATAGGCAATAAAACAGAGTCTAATCTATTATTTTATATTCTTTTTGCCAACTTAATTTATAATTTTTGACAAAATATCATGCTTTATAATATGATTTAATTTTTGGCAGTAAAATGTATTTAAAAAAATGCATTTGTTTTGGTTGTAAACAAATTAAATTAATTTTTTAAATTACAGTTGTTACTCTTTAAAAAACAATTCACACAGTGCGTAATGTATCCTAAATCTTGTTGATACAGAGATAGAGACACTGTTAACTTTTGAGATAAAAAGAACTTAGTTAAAAATTTAAATAAATTTTAACTAAAAAATAAAATCTTAAAGCAATTACACTGATTAGTTGTTTTTTAAATGGACACCTTAATGTTTCTTCTTTTTGATGTTTAAACTTTTATATGCAAAAATATGTTTTTAACTCAGCACAATTAATTCTTTTTTTGTTTTTTACCCTTTCTGCCTTTTCGTTGATCTAGTTTCTCATTAAAATTTTTTAAATAATTTGCTTACTAGTAAATATACCATAGTTTAGTTTTTTGAATCTTAGTTTTCTGTTCAAATAACTCTGGCTCTTGAAAAACATTATTAATTGTTTTGGATATATTGGTCATAGGAAACAAACAGCTTGAATTTAAATAGTTACCAAGTATATTTATCTGCTGTTGTATAACTGGTGATACGGAAGTTATCGTACAAATCTGAATTTGATTATTTTTAGCATAATAATTTGTTTTTGTGGTTATTTGCATAACCATAAACGTTCTATAAAATATGAAGATTATTTGAAACACAATTATTTAAAATGAGGTTAAATGCAGCTGAGTGAGAATCTTTTTTAAAACAACTCAAAATGTTTTTTGTAAATAAACCTAATATAAAAAAAATTGTAAATCATTTTGAAAAAGAAGGATTTACTTGAAGTATAATATATGATAACCTAAAATGACTTAAATTTGTTCAATCCTTTTCTGATAGAAAGCAATTTGGTTGTCCAACATCCTGGGTTAGAGAAACATGAAACGAATTACTGAGACTTGTCAACAATCAAAAAGGAGTCAGTCAGAGAAAAATAGGTTTTAAATTTAGTGTAAATCAATCTACAATAGGTTGTCAATAAAAAAAAATCAATATTAAATGTAGAAAACTTTAGAATATTTATTTTGGCCAAATTTAGCAAGTTCTCATTATTCTAAAGATTCTCTTATCTGGATGGACCAATATGTCTATTACTTTGATAAAGGATCTTATCCTCCAAAGATGCCTCAAGCACGACTTATTGAAAGCTTTGGGGGACATTTGGCACAAAAGGTTTACGAGTGAGATTGGCAAGCTTCAACAGAGCAAGTTTTGGTTGATCGAATTAAATTACAAGAAATTGATTTAAATTTTTTACAGTTGTTTATGAAAGGCATCAGAGCAAAATTAAGATCAATTGCAGATGGTGGTATTTTTTTGTTTAAAAAATAACTTATTTTTAATAAAAGATGAATACTCGATTTTAAAAAAAATATAATAATTGTTTTGTTTTTTTCATTTATAAATAAGTTATTGACGTTTTATTTTGTCCGATAACTTATGCATCACCCGTTAATAAGCAAGCCTAAAGTAGAATCACCATTATTATTTTGTTGTATGATCTCAAACAATTCTTCTCAAGTTTGGAATGCATTACAACATTTTTATATTGATTAATTTAGTCTATACTATTAAAAATTATTTCTTTGATTTGCGATAGAAAATTAAAAGAAAATTTTTTCTATTTTGTTTGGCTTTTTTAATGTTTAAAAATAAGAGTGGGTGTAAATTCCTTCCATTTGTTAATAATGGAAGATTTATTACTAAAACACTCTATTTAGGCGATAAAAATTATGTTAACCAGAATACATAAAAACTAAAATTTAAAAATGTGTTACCTTCAATTTAAGTGTCAGAAGTTATGACTTTTGTTCTTTATGGCCGTTACACATTTTAACGGCTTTGACGGGTATTTTTCATCAATCAATGACAACGATCTTGGTACTTTTGATAAGTGAATGAAAAAAAGCTTTAAAAACCGTTTTACGTTTTCTGGCTCTATGATACAACCATCTATTGATATAAATTTTTTTTTCATTTATTTGTTTCTAATTACCTATTTCTTTTTGCCAAGAATGTTTGACTGCTCCAAATATAGAAATGTCTGGCATTATTCAGTGAAAAACTTATCAAGTAAATTTGCTTTTCTTTTCACCATTGAAATAAACTATAAATTATATGATTGCAGTGGTAATCATAAACATATTTACAAAAAATATCAGTGCTCAATTTTTTTCCACTTAATTTTTTTTTTCTATTTTCTTTAAGTAATTCTGGAAAGACCTTTTTGTTTGCTACCCATTAAGCATTTGAGTTAAAAGAAAATTGGCACCAATTTCGAGAAAAAAATAAGGAATATCTTACATTTAACTGAAAGAACTTTTAAATATGATTTGAAGGTCATAACATTGTTCCATTGGCAGAAAAACAGTAGGTAACAGCGATATGTCGTCTCCCCATGCAAAACCAACAGAGTAAACAATAGAACTGGCTTTTTTAGCAAAAGTCTTTTTAAGTTATGGTTTTTGTTTAAAGCTAGTTTTTCAAGATTCATAAAAGCGCTTGGGTTGTTGAGATGCTCTAAATAATTGATTTCCACAAAAGTAATAAAATTTTTAAAAATATTTTTTATTAATACCTGTTGCAACATTAACTGCTACTCTACTTAATGAATATGTTTTTTTTAATGTTGTTTCTTTCTAAAAAAAATCTTAAGTTTAGATAAAGAATTGTCAATTTTAAATATCTGTATTTCAGCCTTTGTTTTCATCAATTCGATCAACTTATTGGATGACTATGTTTACCACAACTTACAAGCCAATCAACTATTGATTTCCCCTTGTTATTTGTTATTGCACTTTTTTGCTTGTCATTTTATTTTATTTTTTAAATGCCTTTTCATTGTATTCTCAAGTATTTATCTTTTTTTTAATATACAATAAACTGATAAACTTTTTTTTTTAATATCATTTAGAGCTACTTTTTAAGTTTCAACATTGTAATATTCTGAGGATGTTAGATTAAGAATTGAATACAACATAAAAATTAAGGCTTGCAAACCGCCATATTTATTTCAAGTAATAATAATAACACAAGGCATGTGTGTATTATGCTGAACACGTATATTACATCTTCCTTCTAAAAAAAGTTTTTTTTTTTTAATGTGTGTATATATTATATAGTTAAATAAGGTCTTTTTAACATACACAGTTAATGAAGTCCCTCAAGTAGGCAGGTCTGTTTTTAGTCCTTAACGATCTTTGCAATAAAGTTTGAAAATAGTTTTTTGCAATGCATTCCAACAACAGCAAATATTATATAAAAAAGTTAGCAAGAAATAAAGTACTAATCTAAAAGATCCATAATAATAACAAGTTTGTTTGGTTTAACACCCGCAAATGCTATTTCTTTAAAGTTTTGCCCTTTTTGGCTAAAAAGTTAAATAACTTATTAAGTCTTACCGTAAACTCAACTTTAGTTTTTAGTAGTACATGTATTTCGTCAACAAAAATATCGAGAAGGTTATTTCAGATACCGTTTGATCAATTACGGTTATTACGGAAAGTCTTTTAATTATTGTTTTTCTTTTTTTTTTTGTTTTGTATTTTATATCAACTGAATTTGCTAAAGTTTTTTTACTGGTATTCTTTGATGTGACGCATGCAATCGCTTGCTAATTATTTTACTCTATAATTAAACGACATTTGTTGTTGTTTTTGCTGAGACTTTGTGATTATAACTTTATTTCTCTATGCAATTTATGTATAAAATAAATTATTATTAATTATAAAATCGAGTTCACAATAAATGTGAAATATGAAATTTATGAGCTCGTGTTTACTTTTTTTGAAACCTTATCTATTTTCAAAAAATTTCTTTTGATGACACAATTTATTACATGATAATGAAAGGGTTCGTCCGTAAAGTACGTCTAGCAGAATTTAAATAATAATTAGAAATAGAAGATCATTCGCTCATTGGATATCGCTGTTTTACTATATTACATTGAAAAAGAAATATATATTCAAAATAATACTCTCGAAATGAAAGCGACGACAATATATAAAGATTAAAAATAAATCAAATTAATTATTCTCAATAATAATAATATACACTGATTATTTTATAATAAAAAAATATTTCATTCCTAATATATGTTCGGAAATCGGTTCTTAGTTTGCCATGTCATCGTGAAACAACAGCTAATTTTGTGTTGATTTCATATTCATCTTTAATGATACAGATGGTATTTTATTTTATTTTTGGCGCTGATCAATCAATGTAGGCAGTACTGAAGTAGAGTAGAAAAAAAAGAACACCAAAAAAGGACCCCATGCTTTCCCAGAACACATTTTAATCTCAGGGGAGAGGGGGGTGATTGAGAAATACTTTGACAAATTCCAAATTTCGTTAAAACGTTGTATCAAATTTATTCTTGGTTAACACCCTGGTGATAACTGCCAGTGATTCATATGGTGAATCAAGTTGTTCATGCTGATATACTAGTGGTTGCTCATTGGTTTTAATCAGATGTTTACGATTGCATTGATATACTCTTCCGTACTCATCTACTATGCATGTTGAGGTATCCTAGAAGACCAAGTTTAGGGTTGTCGCATTTTTTTAGTATTTTCTTAATAACTTTCATGCCCATTTCACTGAGGCCATTTAATTGGGGGTAGTTAGGACTTGATGGAGTGAAGTTGAACCCATATTCTTTTGAGAAGTTAAGGAACTCTGCACTGTTGTAGGGGTTGTTATCGGCAATGAGGCTTAAAGGTATTCTGTGACGAGTAAAAATGGTTTTCATCAATTTGATTACAGAGAATGCGGTTTTGTCAGGAATGACACTGTTCTCTATTCAACAAAGCATTTGTTGGATTCTGGGCCAACCATAAGTTATGTAGTTTGTTATTTAAGAGAGCACAGGGTCAAGTTTAGTGTCATGCTGCAATTGCTTTAGTCTATCTGTTGGCAAATTTTGAACTAAAGTGTAGACCATAACGTTGCAGTCCTTATTTAGGCTATCCTTGTCAAAAATGTTGAGGTGGGCACGTGATAAAGAGTCAGCAATGTGTAGATCTTTTCCTGTAACATATTTTACTACAACTTGATATTTTTGGAGTCTAATCAGAAGTCTTTGTATGTGAGGTGGTGCTTCTAGCAGCGGCTTGTGCAAGATATATGCAAGAGGTTTGATTTAAAGCTTACATTTAAAGAAATTAAAAGGGCATCACTACCCTTTTAATTTTTTTAAATGTAAGCTTTCATAAGTTTTTATGCATTTTAATTTTTTTACCGCTAGCAATATTAATGTCATTTTAAATTTTTCGCTTTAATCCAGTTTTTGATTTTGTTATTAAGTCACAATTCATAATTAAGCACTGCAATTTTTTTTTTACTTTATAAATTAAAAACAATTCAATTTTAATGTTTTATGATGCTCTATAATTTTAATTTTTTTAATGTTTATTTGTTTAATGGATTATAATTCACTTTTATATAATTTTTTTTATTAATATTTCTTAATATTATAATACCATGGTAATACAAGATGATTCATTTCAACCTTTTTTGCAAGTAACTTTTCACATATATCTAAGAATCTTTATATTGAATACTCTTTTTTTTTTTTATTGAACAACTATTTTCTTTTTATTTATTTTTATATTTAACTTTTTTATTTATTTATGCATAATTATATAATAAATCTTGAATAATTGTGTAAATGTTAAAAAATAACTATTTTCAAATAGTTGTACTCTAAGAATGTAATAATATTATTTTAGTATAAGAATAAGATTGTATTGTTTTAAAAAGTTGTTGTTGTTTTTTTATTTGAAACATGTCCAGTTTTTTTTATTAGAAATTTTTAATTTAATTGAGTTATAAATGTCTGGAAAGTTAATAGTAACAAAATAAACTAAAGCAGAATCAACTTTAATATATAAAGTTGCTATAACTTCACTGTTTATAATCAGTAATTTTTTTTTTCTTAGTTTCTTACTCTAATAATAATAGAATAATTTTATGAGTTGTTAATCTATTATTTACTCAAAGGTTTTTAATATTTCTAGCTATTGTGCTGCATTATATGAAGGATTAAAAAGTTGCCCTAAAGAGAGACATATTCATGTAGTATGCGATACAGATTTTATAGCGCATTTGATTGGAAGAGCTGAACCAGAATTAGCTGGTGGCAGAAGGGAACGGCATGCTAGAACAATTGATATAGCTCAAGAGGAGGTACAACTTTTTTTTTTTTAATATTTTTAATGAAGTCAAGTGATCAATAAATTTGTATATACATAATATTTTTAGGACAAAAAATAAAAAGTTGTTACTAAGTTAAAAATTTATTAGCATTAAATACTCATAAGTGAAATTTCTTTTTAAGAAAATATTTCAGAGATGTGGAGTCCCAAAAGGACTCCGGCTTGATAACTTTATTTTTTCATGGTCTCTGGTGTCCAGAAGCTCTAATCATGATGGTTGATAAATGATATGCTATAAAAAAATTATATTTAATGACTAGGAACCTATTGTTTTTAAGCCTAGAGTCCTTGAGTCCTTGCCACCATTAAACCTAAGGACTCCGGGTTCAAAAGTTGATTGTTCTTCTGACCTATAAGTCTAGATTTTTGCCCTATTATTAGCTAATAAGCCTTTTTATATTTTTAAAGCTACTGGATTTTTTTTTTTTAAAAAAAACATTGGTTTAAATATGCCAATAAAAATAAACAATGGTAAAAGATTCTAATTAATGTAGTGCTAAAAATAGGGAAAAGTTTACAAAAATTAACAAAATCTATAAAGTGTTTGATTTTGACTATTTTCAAAAAGATTTTTTTCTTTAGACCAAAACCCTCTCACTATTTAAATGCATAAAACTTTCTGTTTATTGTTGTTTCTGACTTAAAATTTAAATGTCATACTGCTTGGAATATAGATGGTTTAAAACCTTGACCTTACACATATGAGATGAGGGATCTGTGTCTCTTTAGGTAATTCATGCTGAAAATATTTTGCACTGTGATTTTCAATTAAATTATTAAAATGCAAATTTTAATTCGACTTGAAAAAATAAAAAGTTTTTCTCTTTTCAGCAATATTAAAAATAACAATAGTTGGTTTTGTATGAAGTCTTTAAATCAATTTTCTTGGTAGTTTTGTTTTAGTGCTCAACCTGTTTTTTTGTGAAACCTGCTTTATTTATATTGTGTTAGTGATCAACTATTTCTACATGAAGATGCCTTTTAAAGGTACATTGTTCAGAGGGATACAACCCTCAAAAATATAAACTTATAAAGGTACATGTTTCAGTTTATGAAAGGGGTACAAACCAGGCTTGGTCGGGAAGCGGGTGCGATCGCACTCGATAATTGACCACGGAAATAATATTTAGTTGCGAAAAATCGGCCTGATTTTTAGTTGTTTTAAGAACATTTCAAAAACAAACAAAAAAGAGCAATAAGATTAACTGGACCGATGAGAGACAGTTAAAAAAAAGAAAAATAGCTTTAAACGCGAAAAAACTTTAAGCAAAATAAATACTATTAGAGTAAATATTTTTGAAACATCGCTCTTTTATAATTTTTTTTATAAAATTAAGTGACATTTTTTATATAAAGTAACAACTTACTATTAATGATTGTTTAATAAGGAAACTTATTCTCTGATTTTTTCAAGAGTATATATAGTTTTTATTTATATACTTATGTCTTATTTACAGTGCTGGATTTAGGAGGTGGGGGGGAGGAAGTAGATGGGCTATAGCCACAGGATTCACAATGTTAGGGGCCGTGAAATAGTGAAGAGGACCATTTTTCAGTCATTTTTACGCTGCGGCACAAGAAAAAGGCTACCAAAATAATGCAGTCCCCGGCCCTGAAAAGTCCAACAAAATTCAGCCAATAAAACTAACGCAAGATGATTTATTTATAAATAAAAAAGTTTTTTCAATAACTGTTTTATGCATTGTGTAGTTTGAAAAGTTTAACACATTTGAAACTATTTTTCTTAGTAAGATGAGCAAATGAAATAATTAAATCATTGAGTTACTGTAGAAATTCAGTTAGCTAAATAGAAATTAACTAAAAATGTTAAATTACTATGTGAAAAGGAAGCGGATTTGCTTCACAATAACGCTGATGATGTTTAGTGAGTGGGCTTTATAATTTTAATTAGTATTTAAAACAGAAAAAAGTAACTTTAAGTTCAAGTATAACGAGTTTGTAAGAATGGCTGAAGCAAAAATAATTGAAGTTAGTAAACCAATTTCTAAGAACTTAAAAACTTTCTTTCTTAAGGGAAAGAATCATCGGGAATTATTTTATCGGGAACACTGAGGAAAAACATTATCAAAGTGAAACACATTATCTGAGTGAAACATTATCGGGAACACTGAGGAAAATGGATTAGTGGTTAAAATTAGTTGTATTAACTTTGATGACTATTAATAATTTCATTGAAAACACAGTTATTAATGAAAGTATTTTTGTTTTCAAAATCAATCGCACAAATTGCTTTAAAAGATTACATTTGAATAAAATACACATACATAAAATTACATGTATAAAAAATACATACGTAAAAATACAATATATACATAAAAAATACATTACATACATAAAAAATACATCCCTTATATAAAAAATAAGAATATACAAATAAATCTATAATATATTCACAAAACGTTGACAAGTTAAAAAAGATAAATTTAAACCATTTATTTTTGTAAACAAATAATGTAGAAATCTCAAAGAAAACATAACAAAACTCAAATAATACATTTTTTAAAAATATTTCAACTGAATACTCTAGAAATTTCGTTTAGTATTTGTTGAACCAATAAAATTAGTTGTTCGTAGATTTGGTGGGTTTTTTGTGTTTTTTTTATTTTTCAGCACAAGATGTTTGAGAACATTCGAGTTTATGTATGTTTCCATGTATGTCCGTAAACAAAATATTTCATAATTTATGACAAAACAATAAATGTTATCAAAACGACTAAAATATCTGGCCGGTTTTTCGCAACTAAATATTATTTCCGTGGTCAGTTATCGAGTGCAATCGCACCCGCTTCCCGACCAAGCCTGAGTACAAACTTAATTTTCTCCATTGTTATGATCATTTGTGAATTTATGTGAATACTGGAAACATTTATAAAATTGAAAAAATAAAATGTTATTAAAATTGTTTACAAAGAAATACAAACACTGATATCCTATTAAAAATAGAAAAAGGGAGGTTTAGTTTTGCTAAACATCCGTTTTTCTATTTTTAATAGGATATCAGTGTCTGGGTAATATTTAAAGTTACTAAGTGAAGTATTTTTTATCTCTAATTAAAATGCTTTATTTACATTATTTACCCTCATAAAATAACCTAATAAAAATCATTATTTTTATGTAGTAAAATTTATAGTACATGTTTTATCATTTTGAAGTTATAGAATAACAAAGTTATTCTATAACTTCAAAATGATAGTAAGATAAGTAATTATTGCTGTACTCAACCCTTTTACTCTGAAACAATAACCTTAATGGACAAGGCAACTGCATGGAAAAATTAGTTGATTGCAGTACTCCAGGAGCATTGAATGAAAAGGATTTTTCAATTCTGTACCTTAGTCTACTACATGCAGTCTCTTTTTTAAAAAGCTGTGTGAATAAAACTTTGTGCAACTTTTATGGCAACCTTTAATATGAAAAACAGTAATTTTACTTATTTTGTAACCATTTTCTTTATCTGAACACAATATGTCTCTGGATTTAACATTACCTTTTTCATGAATTTTTGAAAAAAAAAGTTATTTCAGGAATAAATTTGAGGTACAGCTGTTAAAAAAAAAACAAAAAAAAAAACAATATTTACAGAATAATCAAAAATGCTATTCATTTAAAATTGAAATTTTTACAATTTTTCATAATGAAATTTTGCACTCTGCGACTCATTTCATTTTAATTTTTAACAATTATTATATACTTGTATCTGAAATTTAAAATGTTTTTATTAGTTTAGAGTTTGGTGCTTTTTGGTTTGGTTTTTATCACAAGGAGTTTGATCCTTTAGTTGTAGCAAAATAGAATCTAAAATTTGAACAATGAACATGGCTTAAGATAAGTACTGATAATCTAATAAATAAAACTGAGAAACTGACGACGAGTTTGCCAGGTCAGGTAAAACAGGAAAAGGTTGGGGAATTCATATATATGCAAAATAATCAGGGAATAGTTAGAGAAATTTGAGTGAATTTCAGAAAAATCAGAGAGAAATCAAGAAAAATAGCTCTTACATGGCTTACATCAAACTTATGCTAGTTGTATATTGTATACATAATATAAAATTTTATTTGGCAGATTATTTATTTTGTTACTTTGAATGTGCATTGTATTAATGTTTATATTTTTCTAGTTAAAGAGCGTTTTTCTTAAAGAAAATAAAAATAAAATTTTTGTAAGTCTATTTTTTCTGAGGTTTAGTTTGGGTTAAATTAATTTAAATTAATTAAAGAAAAACAGGTAGTGGATCAGGGAATACTATCTTGAAAAATTGGAAGACACCTTCTAGATATAAAAAAATAGTTTCAATGAAAAATATGCATATAAAAGGGAGGAAAAAATACCTGAAAAAGATGAAATAAATAATAGAAATATGAAAAATACAAAGGTGCTTAAGATCAAAATTTCTAATGTAGCAGCAAAGGTGACCTTTTAAGGGGTATTATTGTGTCACTAGTGTTTTGAAGAGATAAACTTTCAACATTGCTGCAGTTATAGTGTTTGTTTTTTGTCACTCAAAAAAAATTTTACTTATAATATCTACATGGTTTGAACACTGTTTTAACTGATTGCTTTTTTAAATATAATTCCTATTACCCTTTTGTTATTTGCAGTGTAATAATTATTTTCCTATTTTTGAAGAGACTTGTTAACTAAGTCAATTTAGAAATTTCTTCCAAAAAAAAATTAAAAACTTTTACTCTTAACAATTTTTTGTCATTTTATTTTTAACATATGTTTCAGGAAATATTTTTTATAAGAAATTATAATTTTTTATGAAATTATAAGAAATTACAAACTAAATTCATTCTATTAACAACTTTTATTTTAAAACATGATTTCTTTAAAAATCAGGTTTTGACTTGTCTTGGGATACATTTATGGGAAAGATTGCATAGGTTGTGGCAGAAGCTGCGAGCTGAAGAACAAACATGGCAAATGCTTTTTTACTTGGGCGTGGAAGCTTTGCGCAAAAGTTTTGAGGTATTATTTCATTTTGATTTATTTATTATCAGTGTATAATTTTGAGTTCGGCAATATAGCTCTAATATAGCTTTTGATATATACATATTCTAAAAATTTTGTTACTTTTTTACCTTACCTTAGCATAGATTTTTGTTTACATAATATTATTTAGTCTATGATGCAGTATAACTTAATATAAAGCAAATGTATTATGGTTATTTATGCAATTTAGACAAAATAAAACAGGTAAAACAAAGATTTAAGCTGAACAGCTTTAATTGAGTTTTCTTTTGAACCTTTTCTTTTTTGTTTTTCTTTTTTTTTTCCTAAAAAATTTTATTTTACTAATTACATACTTAGAAAATGTTATGATCTATATGATTTAAAAATATTTGATTTAAAAATAATATGATTTAAAAATTAAAAAAATAATTAAAAAAAAAAACTTTTTAAATTTAATAAAAAATATAGGCTTTTTTATTATAGCTTAAGTTCTGACTGAAAAAACCCCTCTTGAAAATCATAAATCAAATTATTTTGCACAGTACAAAATAATTTTTAAAACAAATAGGTTTGTTTTTAAAAAAAAGTTCTTATATTACTTATATTCTTTTAAAAATCTAAAAAAAAAAAGAAAAAGAAAAGAATGGAATTTGAAAATAGTGTCAGGATTTTCTCTCAATATTACATTATAAAGATCATAGTCATTTTATGCTGTCTCTTTAATTTTCTTTTTTGTCTCTTTTTTTTTTACTTTTCTTTTTTCTGTTAAATATCTGATTAATGTTTGTTTGTTAATGTACGTTTTACAAGAAATTTTGATTAAGTATAAGAAATTTAAAAGATTTCATTTTTTTTACAAAAAATTTCTATAAAATTTTACACAATTTTTCTATAAAGACAGCAGTCGAAGAAAAGCAAGGTGTATCACAGTTAGAACTTGTTGTAGAAGAAATATCTGAAGCTGAGCGAGCTAAGGAGCAACGAAAGGAAAATAAAAGAATGAAGAAAAAAAAGAGAAAAGAAAATAAAGCTAAACTCAATGAGGACAAAATACATGAGTTGCAGGAGGAAGAAAAACAGTTAACTCAAGACGACGATGAGTTGAGTGAAAATGATGAAAAAATATGTAATGGAGTTGATGGCTCTGAATCATTAGACGGAAGCGAAAAGTCAAGTTGTGGATCCCAAATTAGCCCTCGTAAAACTGATGAAGAGGATGAAAACTTGCTAGAAAAAAAGTTTTCATGCTCACCCTGTCATGTTTCAAATGTAATTGACTGTACAAACTTTTCTAAATCAAATACATTTAATTCAACTCCATGCAGTCCGACAAAAGAAAAATTAGGTTTCATTGAAGTTTCTAAATTGCATAAATGTAATCCTAGCGAAGATAATACATCTGATAAATCAAATTATTTTTTTTCTAATTGCAATCATTCCACTTGTACTGACCGTGACCAATTTGAAAATAAATTGAGTACAACATGCAGGTGTGATAATGAAAATAAATTGAGTACAGCATGCAAGTGTGATAATGAAAATTTGCCAGCAAAACGTAACGGATATACCCGTACTCAAAACTATAAAGGAAATGAACATTTATTGTACAGTAAACGTAATGGATATAGTTGCAAAGGAAGCAGTCCTAATATTGGTCCACGATTTAATAGGTGCGATAATACAAGTCGTCACACAGCAGACTCTTACAATGGCAATGTTTATGATAAATGTTTTTCGTTTAATAATTCAGTGGTTAATGGACGTGGAAGAGGGAAGCGAAAGGGATTAAAGGTATTTTTTTAAGAAGTTTTCAAAATATGATTTTGTGCATTTTTTCTTACTATTTGAGCATAAAACTTAAATTCTTTTTATCATAGGACCTGTGTCTCTCTGATCATTCTAATATTTATTGTAAAAATTACATCAATGGGAATGATTACCATACTTCATTAAAAAATGATGGATTTTCATCATTACGTAGTCCCGATTTGTTTCAAGATTCAACTGTAGACGATGAGGGAGAGCTTCGTCTTTTAAAAATGATGGGGTGGAACTCAGAGGTAAGATGGGGTCAAACTTTGATTTTGGTTTTTATAACATTTTTTATCATAATATATAATTATAAAGGTGTAAACTGATATAATCTGTAGGTTAGTTTTTCTCAATTTGAAAGGTTATAATTGAAAGTCTTTTGAATTTAAGTTAAAGTATAACTTAGATATGAATAGAAGCTTACATTTTGCATGATGTAAGTTTAATGATTTCTACAATTTCTTCAAATGTAGAAATCGCCGATAAACCTCTCTTTGCAATAAGTTTTAAAACATTTTATGTTCGCTCCCTAAACCTAGGTTACAATTTTTTTAAACTTTGGCTCTAGTTTTTGCTAATAATATATGCTTTGTGATAGTATATGCTAATTTGTATATATTTGTGATAATATATGCTTTCCGAGAATATATGCTAATATATGCTTTCTGATAATGTATGCTGATAATATTGATAAAAATTTTATTTTAGGACTCTACTGGGATTTCTGAAAAAGATATTCAAGATTTTGTTGCAAACCGATCAGAAGTGCAAACGCGTAGACAGGAGCTACGCGATCATTTGCGTGATCAATTTCATAAACTCTCAGTAAAATCTATGCGCACGATTCCCGTGTCTATTAATGGCGTTCAGCACCTTATTTGAAATAATTCCTAAATATTTTTTTAATGGGTTGCCTTGTATATGTTTTTTTTATACTTAACGTCGACGCATGCGGATAAATAATTCTTTAACTGTTGCGAAAAATTTCATACTTCATATTTAATTTTATTTTCTCTCGTGAATTTTGTTTAGCCTATTTAAATTTAAATCCGATCAATTTTTTTTTTAATTTTCGAAATTGATAGTGAATAAATTCAAATTTAACGTAGTTTCGCGTCTAAAAGTTATTCGTGCTTAGCATAACAGATTTTTTAAATTTACATTGCAATGAATTAAATGATTAGATAGAATGTCAATTTGTGTATAGAATCAAATTTTAGTGGAATCCATTTCACTTTTATAATTATTTTAGTCTCTTTAATCTTGCGTAATGTTGCTGCTATCTGTGCAGACCACAGTAAGCTAAAAACTCGATTATTATTATTACTCGATTATATCTCTAATAATATAAAAACATTAGAGTAATGCGAATGCTTTTTTTTTTTTTTTTTTTATTCAGTTTCCGTTAAGATTAGCTAAAATAACTGGTAATAAGTATAAAATTTAATATTTAAGCTGCTAGAACCTATATCGCGAAAACGCAAAATATCTTTTTGGGTTTTCGCAATTTGTTACTGCTTAATTATTAATTTCGTTGTCTTGGCAAATTTTTAGATTTTTTTTTTACGAAATATTAATTCTTGTTAACGAAAACAAAAAAAACCCTAAAATTGAATAATGACATGAAAATCTAAAAATAGCCCTATAAATCAGAGGTGGAAAGTAACGAATTAAATTTACTCACGTTACTGTAACTGAGTAGTTATTTTGAGAATTTCTACTTTTTAAGTATTTTTTTAAATGTGTACTTTTACTTAAGTATTTTTTTCTAAAGTATTGTACTTCGCTACATTTGAAATCATACGCGTTACTGAGTAAAAAAATTCATTACGTATTGTTTAATTTCACAAATACTATGATATAGATTTTTTGAGTTTTGCTCACTTTAGTAAAAATGGCACTTAAATTGTTTAGAAAAAAATGTTGAGCGCACTCATGACGACTTTTAACTGCTTTAGGTTGGTTTCTTTTCACTCTTTACGACCATAAAAAAAATTTTTTACAGATAGGAATAGACGTGATTTTTGTTTTTTTATTCGACAGCTTTGTTACTGTTACCACTTTTACTCTGAGTACATTTTTAATAAGCTACTTTTTACTTTTACTTGAGTAAACTTTTCGACCGGTAACTTGTACTTGAGTAAACTTTCACTCAAGTAACAGTACTTTGACTTAAGTACAATTTTTTTTTTACTTTTTCCACCTCAGCTATAAATCATTTTATGTGCTATTTTTTTATTCGAATTCTAAGCGTATAAAAAGAATTTAACCGCGGCAAAATATGTATTAGAAGTAAAATTTTATGTTCGTTAAACTAAAGATAACTGTTTGCAAAAAATTACTTTAACTTAAAATTTAAAAAAATAACTTTATTATAGGAAACCGTATATAACTTTTTTCATTATTTTTATTTTAGATAAATCGTAACACTCCAATGCATTGCCATTGCAATGGCGTATAAGGGAGATGGGGGCGCATTGATCGTCGGGGTAGTATGATCTTTTAGCTTTTACTCGTTTATTTTTGCCTTACTGTGACAGAGATTGCAATTTAATTAACCATTATACTACCCTTTATTATTTAATCGTAATATTTTTGATAAGATCAACTTCTGTGTTAAGTAAAATAGGAAATACAGTTTTTCATTACGAAAAGTAATTTTTTTGAAAGTAGTAAACAAATTAAAATAAATTTTTGATTAAATTTCCGTATGACTTTACAACCATTTTATTGTAAACTCATGTATGCTAAGTGTATAAAATGTTTTGCTTTTTTTGAGTTGGTTGCAATATTTGCAGAGATTAGTGGCATCAACATATCAACTATACCTATTAGGGCACATTAATTGTTGCCTATGCCGAGCTCATTGATCGGAGGATTAAAGTGTCCCAACTTATATTATAGAACTTAAATTTTTTTGTTTAAATTGTATAGACTTAAACGAATGTACTTACAGTGTCTCAAAAAATTATCCGACCAAACAAGTTTTTCGCAAAAAAAAATGTTTACGCTCTAAATTATACTAAAAACAATGAATAACGATACTTTGTCTATCATTTTAATTCTATTGGGAATAGTATGTTATTTAGCGTTAATATTTTTTGATTCATGATTCAGTTGGTTTATTATTTGTCCTAAAAGAAACTTAGTATTGAATAGGCTTGTAAAAAAATTATCCGACCAATTGATATTTAGGTAAGTTTAATTAACCTTATGTGAAATTTGTTGAAATATTTAAGCAAATTTTTATACAATTAATGAAATTGCATAAAAAAAACTGTTTTTTTGTAGTAAAAAAAAATTGTATAAAAAAAAGGTTTCATGTTTTTTGAAGTAAAATGGTAAAAGGTAAACGTCACTGGACTGTTTCTCAGAGAAATTTAGCTGTCGATCTAGTCAATCAGGGTAAAACCTATCGTCAGGTGCAGCAAGAGACTGGAATTCCTCTTAATACAGTATCCGACATAATGAAGAAGTATAATTTGATCGGAACAACAGCCAAAAAAGAAGGACAGGGTCGCAAAAAAAGACTTCTAAGAATTTTGATAGAAACTTAATTATACAAGTCAAGAAAAATCGCTTCATTTCTGTTCGAAAACTAGCTGAGCAAGCTGAAGAGAAATATGGAGTCAAATCATCCCATCAGACAATCAGAAATCGTATCCGAGACCAGGGATTTCAAAGACAACTTGTGCGTAATAAACCATATTTGAGTAAGAAACACATGAAAAGAAGATTAGAGTTTGCTAAGAAGTTCGAAAACATGCCGTTAAGTTTCTGGAAAAAGATCCTGTAGAGCGACGAATCAACTTAAAGCCATCTGATGGAGCTCAAAAAGTTTGGAGAAAAGTGGAGAAACCTACAAATTAAGCTGCGTGAGAGGAACTGTCAAGTATGGTGGCGGTAACGTGATGGTATGGGGTTTAATGGGTTGGAAGGGTGTCGGGGAACTTCAATTTATTGATACTATAATGGATGAGGTGCAATAAAGAAACATTTAAAGCAAAATTTGAAGTCGTATGCTCGAAAACTTCGGCTAGGATCTGATTTTACATTTCAGCAAGATAACGATTCCAAGCATAGTGCCACTAAAACCAAGAAGTGGTTTGCTGAAAATAATGTTGAGATTTTGGAATGGCCCGCGCAATCACCGGACCTTAATCCCATTGAATATTTGTGGGATGCTTTAGACCGAAAAATTGGAGATCGGTTATTTTCTAAAAAAGATAACCTCAAAGTGACAATTAAAGAAGCCTGGGAAAAGATTTTACCAGAAGAAACAAAATCTTTAGTCGAATCAATGTCTAGACGTCTAGAAGCTGTAATCCAAGCAAAGGGAGGCCCTATAAAGTATTAAAATAATTGTTTTGTTATTTAATAATTTATTATGTAACAAAAAATATGTTTGGTCGAATTTTTTTTTTTTTGACAATAAAAAATAGTTCCTTTATTTTAAGACTAAAAACCTTGCGGTTCATATTTTACACTAAAATAAAAAAAATCTATTTAAAAACAAGTTCTTTTATTTTTATTAATCTTGAGTTTACCAAAAAAGTCGAAATTTACAAAAATACAGCACTTTTTCTTCGGAAAAACATTTTAAAAAATGTTTGGTCGGATAATTTTTTGAGACACTGTATGACGAATAAAAAATTTTATGTAACAATTATAATTTTTTAGCATATCATTTTTAAAATGTAATGGTGTTAAAAACTAATACTGATAATATTAGTTTTTAGTTTTACATAAGTTTTAAATAATATTATTATGTAAAATACTTTCAAATGAGTTTTTAAGCCTAATTACAACAATAAACAAGCTTTTACAGCAAAAGATAAAAAAAGTTTATCAAGTTATTTACTACTTGCATCAAAAATGAACTATGAACTTTCAATGAACAGTCAACACGATTATTGTCATATAAGTTTACTGTAAAAAATAATAAGATCTGCTCCTCATCATGGATCAAAAATAAAATTGCAGAGATTGATTGGTTGCAAGGTTTTATGAAAAGACAACCAAAGTTGTCTTTACGAACACCTGAAGCAACTAACTTTGCTCGTTAAACTGCTTTTAACCGACACACCTTAGAAGAATTTTTTCAAAATCTAAAAAAGTAAGAAAGCGATACAAGTTTGATCCTTATTGCATATATAACGTTGATGAAACTGGTTTAACAACGGTGCAAAAGCCAGTAAAAGTGTTAGCAGGTCAAAGTAGTAAACAAGTAGGAAGAATCACATCAGCAGAACGAGGAACACTGGTAACTGTATTGTGCTTCAATTGCAATTGGAAACTTTATTCCTCCACAATTTGTTTTTCCTAGGGTTAAATTTCATGATTACATGATAAAGGAAAGTCCTCCTGGATGCATGGGATTTGCAAATCATTCTGCTTAGATGAATTTAGACATTTTTATAGAATGGATAACACATTTTATTAGGTACTCAAACTGCTCTCATGAACCCCCAGTTTTCTTACTTCTGGAAACCCATAAAAATCATATTTTTGTTAGAGCTTTGGGTCTTGCAATTCAACATGGAATTACAATACTAAGTTTTCCTCCCCATTGCACCCATAAATTGCACCCATTTAATAGAACTGTTTTCGGACCATTAAAAAGGTTCTACAACGCTGCATGTGACAATTGGATGGTCACAAATCCATGATCTATGACCATTTACGATATTGTTTCAGTAGTTCGTGAAGCATATACGAGAAAACCATATACAAAAACATGCGCAAGCCATTTACAAAAGAACCATATACAAACACCATCTAATATACAGAGAGGATTTTAAGTAGTTGGCATTGAACCATTTAATCCAGCAATTATTGAAAATGATGAGTATTTGCCATCATCAGTTACAGATCGTGCTGCTCTGAATGCAGTAAACACAATTCTTGTAAAAAATGACTGTAGCACATGTTAATGACATAGAACCTGAAATGTCTATAGTACATCATGAAACAAGTGTCACATGAGCATTGCTTCACTACTCTCACCTGAAGTTTTTAAACCTTACCCGGAAACATCTACTAGAAAAAGAAGTGTTAAAAGTAGGCAACTAAAAACAAGGATCTTGACTGATAGGGGAAAGCGGGGCAACATGGCGAATGGGGCGAGATGGGTTTTCATATAACAACTCAACAAAAATTTTTAAAATTGGGTGAAAACAAAACTGTATTTGCATCTTGTATTTTAAAACACCAATTGGTTTTTTGAAATATTATTAACGCCATTTT